TAGGAGGTGTGGCTTTGTAGGAGTGGGTGTGGCAATGTTGGAGGAAGTGTGTCACTGTGGAGACAGGCTTTGAGGTCTCACATATGCTAAAGTCACACCCAGTGTCTCAGGCCATGTCCTGTTCCCTTCAAGTCAAGATATAGGACACTTAGCTCCTCCTGCACCGGGTCTGTGAGTACACCACCATGTCACACGATGGTGATAAGGGACTAAACCTCTGAAAATGTAAGCCTCCTCAGTTAAGTGTTTTCCTTTGTAAGCGTTGCCGTGGCCACGGTGTCTCTTCACAGAGATAGACCAGTAACTGACACACATGGTTTGAATCCCTAGCACCACATGGAAGCCAGACATGGTGGCTTGTGTTTACAACCCAGGGCTGGGGTGGCATGGCAGGATGACCTGGGGCTCTCTGGTCAGCCAGCATGACAGCCTATAGTCTCAAAAACCAGTGGGAAGCAATAGCACAAGGCACCTAATGCTAACCTCTGGCTTCCACACATACATATACATGTGAACACGTCTATGGACACCTATCTGTAACACAGAGATTTTAAAAATCCATTTTAAAACCTGTGAAAATAGACTTATATTTACATGTCTAAACACATTCACAAATTACCAAATATTTACTTTCAGGTTTTCTTTCGTCTAAACTGATCAAAGTTATAAAAATCCTGGTATATGGGACTTCTATTAATCTTGTCCATCCCTGGGTTTCATTTACATAACTCCAGGAGGTGACTGTGAGTCTTAGTGTCTATTAAAAACTAGTTACAGTACGGTTTGACAACTACTTTTCAGTTTTATTCCAAATTTGAGACAAAGTTTTACTCTACTCACTGTGAAACAAAAGCCAAAATCCCCACCCTGTTGTCTCATTGCATGCCCTTATTCTGTTTCCTAATAGTGGATTTCTATAAATATGTTTTCTAGAAACATGTTCTGTGCTACAGAGGCAAGGCTGCGCACATGTTAACCCAAGTCACAATCCTCAGAAGACATCCATTTCAGTCCACATATAATTTTCCCACTTCTTTGATGCAGAAAAAAGAAAATGCAAAACTCAATTACATGCATTTGGGGTCAATGATAAACTGTAGGTGGACTTTCTATATTTTCAGTCCTGAGGACTGAATCTAGAGCCTCCTGCATGCTTGACAAAGGCTCTGCCACCAAGCCACACTCCAAGCCCAACCAAGGAGCTTAACACCAAGAGCAGAGTTGGTTTGAGTCCAGGCTGGGGGATTGTTTGATGTTGGTGTCATACAATTCAGTTATCAAAGCTACCAATAGGGGGCCAAGATGTTTGGGTCGTAAAGGCGCCTGCTGCCAAAGCTGAGAACCTCAGTGGGGTCCCTGGGACCCATATGGTTGAAGGAAAGAACGGACCACTGAAAGCCATCCTTTAAGTTCCACACTGGGGCCCATGGTAATTCATGCCTCATAACCACACCAAATAAGCAAAATATTTAAGATGTATGTATTTAAAGAAAGAAAAAACTTTATAGAATTATGTGTTATCTGAGTACTGTTTTTGTTCCTTTTGGAGACTGGGTCTCAGGTGGCACAGTAGTGCATGCCTTTAATCCCAGTACTCAGGAGGATGAGTTCTAGGCCAGCCTCATCTACATAGGAGTTCTGGTACAGCCAGAGCTGCATAGTAAGACACTGTTTCAAAAACAAACAAAGGAACAAAAAGAGACAGGGCCTCATGTAGCTTGGGCTGGCCTCAAGTGCCTTGTAGCTGACATGAACTTCTGATTTCAACCTCTGTAACTGTGGGCATGTACCACCAGAAGTGTTTCCCGGGAGTGTTTCTGAGTTGTTGGGGTACAGTCAAGGAATTCATCAAGCCCTCTACCAACTGAGCTACACCCCAGCCTATATTGGGTCTTGTTCAGCCCAATTTCCCATTTAAGGTGTGTGGAGTTGATCTGTAAAACTCTATACTTACTATAGTTTAACTTCTTGGATATTTTTGCCTAGTTTTCTGCTTTATTGAAGTCATTGTAAATATTTAATCTGACATTTTCCTTGCAATTTTAATAAACACAATTACTTAAAATTCCCACCCAAGTTATTCAATGCTACTCCACTACAGACTGTTCCCTGGGTGTTTTCCTCCTCCTCCTCCAAGCCCCAAAACTAAGGGGATATGGATACAGAAAAAGGAAAAAAATGGGGCATAGTGCGTCCTGCCTATAGAGAATCACAACTTTCTGGTCTCTGGAGTGAATACTAAGAATGAATGAATGAATGATACAGAGAGATCCTGTCCTGGGGGGGGATGAGAGGAGGAGAGGGGAGAGGAGGAGAGGGGAGAGGAGAGGAGGGCAGAAGAGGAGAGAAGGGGAGGGAAGAGGAGGGGAGGGAAGGAGAGAGGTGGAGAGGGCATTTTCTTCAGTGGTATAGCACTGGTAAGTAAACTATGCTTTTTTATAACAGGGCCTCAGCATGTGGCCAAGATGACTGTTAAATTCTCACTCTTGCTTCAATATCCCGAGTGCTGGTATTACTAGGATACATTAATATGCTCATGTCAAATGTCCCTTGTAAAGATTGATTTGATCTTGCTTTCATGTATGTCTGTATGCAAGTATGGGGGGTGTACCTGCAGAGGCCAGAAGACACGCATTAGACTCTGGAGCTAGAGTTACTGGTCGTTGTGAGCCGATAGATGTGGGTGCTGAGAATCAAACTTCAGTCCTCTAGAAGAACAGCAAGCACCCTTAACTGCTGAGGCATCTCTCCAGCCCCTCAAATATTTCTGAAGGTTTATTCCTGTGGTCTGGAGGCCACTGGGGAGTGTAAGGATGGAGGAGACCGAGTGTTGACTTTAGAAGAAAAGAATTAATGTGAGCTGGTCACAATGCAGTTTCAGCACTTGGAAGTTAGAAGTAGAAGAATCAAAAGTTCAAGGCCATCTTCAACTACAGAGTGAGACTGAGGCCAGCGTGTGTGGGGGGGGAGCACGACACAGTTACGATCCCTCACCTGCAATCCTAAGGACCAGGGTTTGGATCCAGAATCCACAGAACAAGCTGGGCATCCTGCAAACACGTTGTAACTCCAGCTCCAAGTGGAGCAAAGACAGACAGGAGGCTTGCTGCAGTTGCCAGTTTCCTACAAAGCTCAGAAAATCCTGAGCTCCAGGTTCAGGGAGAGATGTTCCCTCAAAGGAATAGACAGAGTGATAAAGGATACATGCACTGTCCTTTTGTTCAAGCTCATGAAAAGTTTGCATGCCTGTACACACACTCGCGTGGACACAGACACAGACGCAAATAGATAAAACCTTCAGATTAGAATGCAAAGTATGAACTGGAAATTAGGATACACAAATCACACACCAGCACGTCTCAATCCCCTCACACTGGGGATGCCCATGCTATCCTTGTTAGTGAGAGGGTGTTTAGCTACACCTACACCCTATGCCACTTACTACTCCGTTGTGGTGTTCTCCTTTAATTGTCCCAGAACTCTGACCTGAAAGCATGTTCCTGTCTCATTGCTAATCCCCACAAAAGTCTGCAGGATGTGACTAATATACCAGACCACAACTGTGAATGTCTTCTAGATATTTTTCCTTGCAGGGTTACTTTTTGCCCATTTAACTCAGTAGACATAGAGTTACCAAAGGGACATGTTTTTCTTCATTTCTGAGTAATAATTCTTAGCCCCGGGCCAAAAAAAGGTTTTTGATTTTTAAGTTCATGTAGGAGTTATTGTTACCTGAGTCAGAGTCTCAAGTAGCTCACATGGGCCTCAAAATTGTATGTACCCGAGGAAGATCTTGAATTCCTCATGTTGGAATTGTAGGCTTAAGTTACCATGCCTGGATCAAGCTCAAATTCTAATTATTTTGTTCACATTTTATCACTTAAAAAGCATTTTAATTAACTTTGCAGTCGGGTTCCAGAGCAATCCCTCAGTTTCTAGGATCAGTGCAATCGGCAGGACAGACACCTTCCAGATCAGAGCAACCATACGTACACACAGCCAGGAGGAACCACACTGGCCCCCTTTGCGCTGTCAGTGATGAGCAGTGAGCAATTAATCAGTCGGGGTCACAGCCAATACCTTTCTTCCCAACACTTGGTAGAAAAGGCAGGAGGATGGCTGTGAGCTCCACGACAGCTTGGACTATGAGGTGGTTTGAATGACGACGACGGCTCCCATAGGCTCAAAGTGGGGGGCACTATTAGGAGGTGTGACCTTGTTGGAGGTAGTGTGTCATTGGGCTTTGAGTTTTCAGAAGCTCGGGTCAGGTCCGGTGACTCTCTCGTCTTGCTGTTCCAGATGTGGGACTCTCTGCTCCTTCTCTAGCACCGTGTCTGCCTGTGCACCACCAGCCACCATGCTTCTCACCATGACAGGGGACTAAACCTCGGAACTGTAAGCAAGCCCCAATTAAATGCTTGCCTTTACAAGAGTTGCTGGCTGTCATGGTTCCCTTCACAGCAATAAACTAAAACAGACTATAAAATGAAGCCTTGTATCAAAACAAAGGAACAAACCCAACCACTTTTCAGGACCAAGCTGAGACAATGGATACAACCACCCTTTGAGAAACTGCTCGATTCTGCACACTCTTGGCCCCTCCAGTTCTCTGTTTAATCCAAAGCTCCTATCAGCATTCCAAGATGACTTGAGATCTCTGTCCCCCTTTACATCTTCATCTTCCCAATGCATTAAGTAAAATTCCTTTCTTCGCTTTCACCATCACTTGTCTGTCTCTCATTTGTTTATTTGAGACAAGGTCTCAATGTAGCCCCAGATAGGCTAGAATTTGCTATGCAGAACAGGCTGGCCTGGAACCTTTAGTGATCTTGTCAGTATCTGACAATGCTAGAATGAATAGAGTGTATCACAATGCCTGGCATCCTGTTCCTTTCTTTAGTTGGCATGGTGGGATGGGTGACTGACCCTAGCTTTTGGGGACTGTATACGTGGGGCTTCAAACCCACTTGTAACATTTGACTTTTTTTTTCTTAATGCAGTGATCTCCATTGCCATGCGTGCTCCAGCAGTGATTGAATTTTCTTCTTCATCATGGTCAAATAAAACTCCATTGTGTATGTGATGGCCATTCATGGTTGTCATCCTGACTATCTGGAATGGACTAGAATCCAGAAATGGAGGTCGCACTTGTGATCCAATCTTGAGGCAGGATTACACATGCCTTTAACCCAGATATTGAGGTGGGAAGATATACCTTTAATCTGGGCCACATCTCCTGCTAGAAGCCTATGTAAGGACACAGAAGAAGGGAGATTTCACTAGTTCTTTGTCTATTTATTCTCTCCTTATCAGCACAACCATTCCTTCACTGGCATTGGAGTCTACTGCTTCTAAAATCCAGTATATACAGAAGACCAGCTGAGACACGCAGCCTCGTGGGACTGAGCAACTACTACATTCTTGGACTCTCCATTCACAGCTAGCCAGTGTTGACTGTAGCCTGTAAGTCACTCCAATAAGTTCATTCTGTAAGTTCTGTGACTTTGGAGAACCCTGATTAATACAGTGTATACACCACATTTTCTGTAACCATCCCCCTGCCCATGGGCATGGGCTCCCTACCTTGGCTACTGTGACTAATAAATAGCAATAAACATGGTTGGGCAGGCATCTATCCTACAACTCGGCTTTTGTTGTTCTTGCTTTTATTGTTTGGGATGTTATTGTTTATCTTTGTTCTTTGTTTTATTATGAACTTTTGACACGTATGGGCACACATACTCACACTGGCACACACACAGTCACTGTCAGCGTTCCAGGAGTGCACCACCATGACTAGCTTGTGCTGTGCTAGGATTTGATGCAGGTTTATTTGAGACGAGACTTGCTCTGCAGCCCAGGCTGTCAAACTCACTTTGCAGTCAGTTTGCCTCAAACTCATGATGATTCTTCTGCCTCAGCATTTTAAGTGCTGGGATCAGTATCATTTTAACAGATTTTTATTTCTATTTAAGATACAATAAAACTTATAAGATATCCTCAATTTAATTTCAAGGACCAGAGAACAGAAAGGATAAGGGATGGGGACCAAGCTACCAAGCTTTATATCCAAAGAACAAAGACCCTTTCACTCTCCTGAGAATGTTTAAACCTTAACTCAAATCCCGTGAATGGGATGTTTCCTGGGTGTCCCAACCAATTCCAGGCAACTGTCCCTTCTGTAACAGCTGTCCTTTTTGCTGCCTGTGCAAAACTCAAACTTTTTATCCACATTTAGTGTAGGTATAATGTAAATCACTAAAGATTTGCTTTTCCCAAATTCTGTTATAAAGTAATGATCATAGAGCTGGCCCAGTAAAATTTTCCAATAGCTGCCTTAATTACCAGAATCTGTGGGAACTAGCCTCAAGACACGGTCCAGTCACAATGGCTCCATAAACCCCGGTTGGTTGGTTGGTTTACTCATAGTGTGTTATGCAGCCCAGGCTGGCCTCAAACTCACTGGACTGTGAAGGGTGACCTTGGACTTCTCATGGTCCTGTCTCCACCTCCTGGAGAGCTAGGATTACAGTTCCCTCCTCTCTGGAGCTTTGGCTTATAAATCACAATAAGTAGAAATGAGATGCAATTCCTAGCTAGCCCCACACAACTGAAGCCCTATATAGAAGAGGGCACCCAACCCTGGGGCTGAAACTCTGGTAGAGTCCCCGCTGAGGTTCTCCCTCCTGCTCACCGTCCTGTCCCTGAGCAGCTCAGCCTCTCAAGAGTCCTGGCCACCTTTACATTTCCTCTTCTGCCCAGTTCCTTCTCCCCACAATCCTGAGTTTAGGTGACTGGGGTGGGGAAGGGCATGGGAGGGGGAGGGGGAGGGAGGCAGGGAAAAACTGGCCAGTCACCTTCACACCTTGCTCTGTCTTGGTCAATGTCTGGGGTGTTTGACAAATCATACCACAGCCTGTTGGCGTCGGCTGGCCTCTAGGACCACCAGCAACAGTTTTCCCTTCACAGAGGCATGCACACCAGAGGCCTGTTAATACTGGATGTCAATGGCGCTTGCCTCATCTCTCATCCCTGTATGACATCCAGTTCCCCAAATGTGCGCACACCCCGTTCTCACTCTCTCAGGAGCTCTAGTTTACCTTCTGACTAGACCATCACAAACACTAAGGGGAAAGGCCGGGGGGACACCACCCAGTGCTCCTCTGGCCCATTTACCAGCTGGTGCTCCCTTTGTCATAATGTACCCTTTACATCAGAGCTTCCAGTGCAAGGGTGTTACAAGTGAGAAAAACTGAAAGTTGGCTGGGACTTGCAAGGGACGTCATCACTCTTCCTTTCTTGTGGGGCCACAATTTAGACACCATCCACAGTCTCTATCTAGCCAGGAATGGGCAGAAGTTTTCTAAAGCAATGCTTACTTTTGTTGCCTTTGCTTACTTTTGCATTTATTTAACAAAGGACCTCATATATCCCAGACTAGTCTCTAACTCACCAAGGGAGGCTTTGAACTCCTGACCCCCCTGCTTTGACCTACTGAGTGCTGGGACTACAAGCGTGTTCACTACAGCAGGCTCCCCAGGTGCCACACATGGAATACAGGACTTCACACATGCCATACAACATGCCCTGAGGAATGAACTAGATTCCAGCCCACAGTTTTGCGTCTGTCTCCTCTGCCCTCTTCCTCACTACAAGTAAACCATTTCTTAACTTAGAACGTCACCATTCAGCCTCTCTGTAGACTGTATTTCTTTGAAGGGACTCCCCTCATTCATTTTTGCCTTCAGTAGTAACAGGCAAAATTTTGTTGACACATAAGTAATTAATGCAAAGCTTCAATTTTACATTGCTTACTACCCATATGCGTTTAGTGGTGAACAGCCAACTGACTGCATAGAGACAAAATACGAACATAAAAAGAAAAAGGAATGAAATCACTTCTCATTTGCAACTAGTAAATCTCAATTGTTCTTAAACAGACATTATAAAGAAACACCTCTTAAATACTAGCCTGGCTTTTTGGTAAATTTACATATCTTTAAGTAAATTTATAAATGTGTGTCCCTGTGTGTGTAAATGGGGTTACTAGCAAGACATGTGTGGATCAATTAGAGAACAATTTGGTTCTCTCTTTCCACCATGGGTCCTGGGGATCCATCTTAGGTCACCAGGCCCTTTACCTTCTGAGTCATCCTGCTGCCCCGATTTTTGATTCATGAATACTTTGAATGAAATCAACCTGTTTTTACTGGTTGTAAGCAGGTAAAATATTTATATAGTAACCGATAGAATATAAATAGTGTACAGGGGTAGGATTGCTCACTATGTAAATTTGAGAATCTGAAGTCAAATCCCCAGAACCCAGCTAAAAAGTCAGGTGTGAGTCCCTGTGCCTGTGACATCAGGTGTGAGCCTCCCAGTCCCTATGCCTGTGACATCAGGTGTGAGCCCCCCAGTCCCTGTGCCTGTGACATCAGGTGTGAGCCCCCCAGTCCCTGTGACATCAGGTGTGAGCCCCCCAGTCCCTGTGACATCAGGTGTGAGCCCCCAGTCCCTGTGCCTGTGACATCAGGTGTGAGCCCCCCAGTCCCTGTGCCTGTGACATCAGGTGTGAGCCCCCCAGTCCCTGTGCCTGTGACATCAGGTGTGAGCCCCCCAGTCCCTGTGACATCAGGTGTGAGCCCCCCAGTCCCTGTGATATCAGGTGTGAGCCCCCCCAGTCCCTGTGACATCAGGTGTGAGCCCCCCAGTCCCTGTGCCTGTGACATCAGGTGTGAGCCCCCCAGTCCCTGTGCCTGTGACATCAGGTGTGAGCCCCCCTTCCCCGTGCCTGTGACATCAGCACTGCTGGGGACAGGGCTGGGAGTAAGGCTGCGGTGGTGGGGCCACAGGTCAGAGGTGCTCTGGAGTATGCTGGCTGCCAGCCCAGAGCAGGTTCAGTCAGACAGAGAGCCTGACTGAAGGAACAAGGCAGAAGACCCAGCAGAAAACCCAGCGACCTCCCCTGGCCTCCCGTGCATCCATGCGCAGGCACATTATCACACATCTACAGAAACACGAATAAAATATTTCTCTGAAGATGCATTTCTGTTACTTGCAAAGTCAGAACTTCTAGACATAAATAGGAAACTATGTAAGTCAAAGAAAAGAGATGATTTCAAAATCCCCTGTGAAGTAGGGAGAAAATATTAGACGGTTTTAAAACATAAAAATTGAAATATTGTTTTGTTACTTTTTTCTGGTATGGATCTTTATTTTCACAAAAATACAAGTCTCCCCATACACAAGTATTCCCGAAAACCACTTCCTTTTGTTTTTGTTCTGCTTTGGTTTTTGAAACAGAGTTTCTATATGTAGTGCAAGCTGACCTTGAACTTAGCACCCCCCCTCAACCTTCAGTGTGTTGGAACTGCAAAAGTTTGCTGCCCTGCTCAACAAAATATCTTTTTATTGACAAAACCACTGTCCAGGGGGATGTCAAAAGATACTTTTACTTTGTATGTGTGTATTTCCTATTTTGCTATTATGTTTTATTTTACCTTGACTAAAAGCAGGTTGAGGAGGACAGGGTTTCTTTGGACAGGTTATATAGCCCACCTTCAAGGGAAGCCAGGGTTTCAGCCTGCAGGAACCTGAGGCAGAAACTGAAGCAGAGACCATGGGAGAATGCTACTTACTGGCTTGCTGTCTGGCTTACTCAGCTAACTTTCTTATTATAGGCCAGGTCCACCTGCTCAGGGATGGGAATTCCCACATCAATTAACAACCCTGTGACATCAGGTGTAGCCCCCCCCAGTCCCTGTGAAAAAAACACTGGAGAGGCACTCCTACTGGTCAATCTGATGGAAACAATACCTCAATTAAGAGTAACTCTTCTGGGCTGGAGAGATGGTTCAGTGGTTAAGAGCACTGTATGTTCTTCCAAAGTTCCTGAGTTTAATTCCCAGCAACCACAGGGTAGCTCCAAACCATTTGTAATGAGATCTGGTGCCCTCTTCTGACCTGCAGGGGTACGTGTAGACAGAAAATTATGTACATAAAAATAAATCTTAAAAAACAACCCTCTTCCGGCAGGGTTTGGTGGCACACACCATTAATCCCAGCATTCAGAGGCAGGTGGATCTGAGTTCGAGGCCAGCCTGGTCTATAGAGTTCTAGGACAGCCAGAGCTACACAGAGGAACCCTGTCTTGAAAGCCAAAGAATTCCTCTTTCCAGGTATATCAAGTTTTGTATCAAGCTGACAAAAACTAACCAGCACAGTGTTGTGTGCTGTGGGGGGGGGTACATGTCATGGCATGTGTGTAGGAGGGGTGTACGCTATGACGTGTGTGGAAATCTGCGGACAACTTTTAAGAATCTGCTCTCTCCCTCTATCATGTGGGCAGGGGTCTAACTGACATAAGTGCTTTACCTGCTCAGCAACCTTTCGAAGCCTGTGTAGACATTTTACTGAAGTGAAAATGATAAAAACAGAGTAAGGGAAACAATATAGGAAACAAATGTGATCAAGTAGTTTTTGGAAGAGCCAAACTGCACAATGTGGGACGCTTGCTATACAGTGCAGGGAAAAATCATATGGATCAGGCTTATGCTGGAATATGCTTAATGCTATCAGTACTGTTATACCTGTAATTTGATTATGCACACGGGATCAATGGTGG